CAGGTTCCCGTGGCTGGTCCACTTGCCACGTCTTGCTCCTACCGGTCGCTTGCCCACCCCACCGTTCTGTGGCACCACCAGATGGGGCACCCGTCCATTCCTCATCTGCGCGCTATGTCTAGTCAGCGTCTTGTCAAAGGCCTCCTGCATGTCTTGCCATCACTGCCGCCTTCACTTGCACCAACCTGCGGTCCCTGCGTCGAAGGTAGGCTGCGCGTCACCCCTCACTCCTCCTCCCTTCGTCCGGCCACCGAGCCTTTTGAGACTCTCCACTTGGACGTCTGGGGCCCTGCCTCCCGCCTTGGCCCTAAGCGCGAGCGTTTCTTTCTGGTGGTCGTTGACGACTACTCCCGCTACACCACAGTGTTCCCCCTGGCGAAGAAGTCTGAGGTGACTTCTACGCCGATCAGATGGTTGCTTACCACTGCAGACACTCGTGGTCGTCGTGTCAGCTGTCTTCACTCCGACCGCGGGGGTGAGTTTCGCTCCGGCGTTCTCACTGGATTCTGTCGCAAGCAGGGCATTCGTCAGTCCTGGACGCTTCCAGAGTCCCCACACAAGAATGGGGTTGGTGAGCGCCGCATTGGCTTGGTCATGGAGATCGCCCGCACCTCCATGCATCACGCCCATGCCCCCCATTTTCTGTGGCCCTACGCGGTTCGGTACGCCGAACCTCTGGTCACGTGTCTCTTGGCCAGAGGCTTCAACGACCAGTCTTTGGACCGGGTCCCCTGGTGCTGCGTCGCGTTTTCGTGTCTGGGGTTGCTTGGCACTTGTTCAAGACACCTCTGCGGACAAGATCTTGACTCGCGCCGTTCCCTGTGCCTTCCTTGGTTTCCCAGTTGACTCCTCTGACTTCACCTTTTACCACCCTCCCCTTCACCGGTTCCTTGAATCTCGTGACGTCCGTTTCGACGAGTCTGTCCCCTACTACGTCAGGTACCCCTGTCGAGGTCTCCCGGTTCCTCCTCCCCCTCTCTTCCTGACTTCCGCTCCCCATCGTGCTCCCCCGGTACATCCTCCCCCCCCTGGTCCAGCCCCGTCAGGTGTGTCCCACGCTACCCCTCCCCCCTCGGTAGCCCCTCAGGTGCAGCCTCCTTCCCCGCAGTCCTCCTCACAGCCTACTGCAGACCCTGCGGGAGCCGGTGTTCGTGGCGAGGACCCTGGAGGTGCTAGCTCTAGAGGAGTTGGAGTTGGAGCTGAGAGCGTACCTGTGCGAGGTCCTGGTTCTGGGGGTGCTGGAGTTGGAGCTGAGCCCGTGGCTGCAGGAGACTCTAGTCTTCGGGGAGCTGGTGTTAGTTGTATTGTCCTTGGGGGTGCTACGACTGGGGGTGCGCCCTCTGCTGGACCTGGAGAGCCTGGGACTGACCCTGTTACTTCTGGTGGTGCTGGCTCTGGGGGTGGTGCGGCTGGTGCCTTGGACAGTACTCCGCGCCCGCACCCCTACTGACCCGGCACCAGGCCCGTCTTCAGCTTCCTCCTTTTGACTCCTCCCTAGCTGTTTTCCCTCGTTCTCAGCCTCCGTTGTCCCCTGTTCCCGTTATTGACCTTCGTACTGCCCTGTTTCTTTCTAGTCCACCTCGTTTGTCTCCTTCTGTACTTCCTTCTCCTCCTGAGTCGGCCCTCACTGCTTCCCTCTCTACTCCTGTCACAGACTACTACCGCACGTACCGTCTTGTTCTCTCTCGTGTTCTTGCCTCTCTTGTTACCCACCCTCGTGCTTCTCTATCCTCTGTCTCTGCTCTTACTGCCGCAGTCCCTGAGTTTTTACCTCTACTCACCGCCTTGACTACGCCACCAGTCTTGTGGCTGCTCCTCCTACCCGACCTCTGGCCGTCGGGGGTGAGTTTGCCCTTGGCTGTGACGCCCTAGAGGACAGGCAGTTTGAGCTAGAGTTCCTGGCAACCGCTTTCTCTCATCTCTGTGCCATGCTGCTCGCCCCTGAGGGAGACCCCGACGCCCTTGACATACCGACTCCTCGCACTTACGCTGAGGCAGTGTCAGGGTCTTGGGCCTCTCAGTGGAGAGCTGCCATGGACGCAGAGATGGCCTCCTACAAATCCACAGGCACCTACGTTGACGAGGTTCCCCCCCCCTAGGGCGAACATAGTCGATGGCATGTGGATCTTCAGGGTGAAGCGGCCACCGGGATCTCCTCCGGTCTTCAAGGCGCGCTACGTGGCTAGAGGGTTCAGTCAGCGCGAGGGAGTCGACTTCTTTCAGACCTTCGCGCCTACCCCGAAGATGACCACTCTTCGGGTGTTATTGCACGTAGCAGCACAGAGAGACTACGAGTTACACTCTCTCGACTTCTCCACTGCCTTCCTTCAGGGTAGCCTACACGAGGAGGTCTGGTTACGTCGTCCCTCTGCCTTCACTTGCACTTTCCCTCCTGGGACCCAGTGGAGGCTGAGGCGACCGGTCTACGGTCTCCGTCACGCTCTTCGTGAGTGGCACAACACCCTTCGTTCTACCTTGTCTGACCTTGGTTTCCAACCGTCTTCTGCCGACCCGTCGCTGTTCGTCCGTCGTGGCTCCACACCGTTCTTTGTGCTGGTCTACGTCGACGACCTGGTTTTTGCCACTGCTGACAGGGTTGCTTTGGCAGACGTGAAGTCCGAACTGTAGAAGAGACACACATGCACTGACCTTGGTGAGCTGCGCCACTACCTTGGCCTGCAGATCACCAGGGACAGAGCTGCTCACACCATTACACTCTCACTGTCACACATGGTGCAGCAGGCCCTTCAGCGGTTCGAGCTCCAGCACTCCACAGTACAGTGCACACCTCTTGCTGTTGACCACAGGACCCTTTCCTGACGAGCCGTTTGAGCCTAGTGGTCCTTACGCAGAGCTGGTGGGCTGCCTCATGTACCTGATGACTTGTACTCGCCTGGACCTCGCCTTCCCTCTCAGCATCCTTGCTCGCTTTGTTGCGTCAGGGAGACACCGTCCTGCTTGCTGGACGGCTGTTGTGAGGGTGGCGAAGTACCTTGCAAGGACATCATGCGTGGGGTTGGTTCTTGGAGGGCAGCAGTTTGTTGTACTTACTGGTCACTGTGACTCTTCTTACGCTGACGACGCTGAGACTCACAGGTCTACTCAGGGGTACTGTTTCAGCCTTAGTTCTGGAGCTGTTTTGTGGAGGTCTACGCGTTCCTCCTCGGTCTCGACCTCTACCGCTGAGGCTGAGATCTACGCTGGTGCCATGGCGGCACAGGAGTTGCGTTGGTTGACCTTCTTGCTCGCCGACCTTTGTGACTGGCCGAGCTCTGCACCGACCTTCTTCACTGACAACAAGGTGTTGATTCTCCTCTGTCGATAGCCGCGACTTGAGAGCAGGGTGTTGCAAATTAACGTCAGGTACTTTCTACTACGAGAGTTGTAGACACGTGGACAGGCCCGCTTCGAGTTTGTGGAGTCCGAGGCCAACACTGCAGACATCTTCACCAAGGCCCTTCCGCCTTGTGACCACCAGAGGTGTTGTGTGCAGTTAGGTCTTGTTGACACAGGTTCTCGTCTTGCATAGTCTTGAGTTCTCTGCTTGCTTTGCTTGTACACTTTACATATACCTTTATGAACTCTAGAACTAGCCTTGTGGCCCTTTTGCTTGTGCTCAAAGTGTGTGGTGACGTTGTGATCCACCCTGAGCTTTGTTTCTTTGTGACTGGTCTTGTGACCCCACACTTTTGGTTTTGCTTGACACCCCTTATTTAGACTATGGGGGTGTGTCAAATGTTGTAGTCTTAGTGATGTGTGTCATAGGGGGTACAACTCTTAGGGTTAGGTTTATGTACCCCAACCAACCTTAGTCAACGTAACACTTTCGATTCTGACACCGCCGCACATTGCCGCCGTACGCTCCTCTCCAGGCTACCTGCGCCACATGCACCTATTTTTCTATTTCTGTCTTGGCTCAGGACTTGCTGCAGCAGTATCTGTCACTATTGCACAGGTTGTTGTCAAACATTATGCATGTTGTAGCTTTGTAGGCTACAGTGGGTTTAGCCTTAGAGGGTACAGAACTCTAGGGTTTCATATTTGTACTCTCATTCCTGTTAGTCATTCTCATTCTCGTTCTTATTTTCACATGGTTTCAGAGCAGGTTCCCTAGTGGGAACTTTTCCTAGGGCCCACCCATATCGAACATTTTTTTTTCTGCCCGGGGTGCGAGTCGACCCTGCCCGAAACGCGATCGGTGAGCCGCCCTTAGCGGCCCCGTAGCCACCCTTAGCGGCCCCGTCGCCGCCCTTAGCGGCCCCGTCGCCACCCTTACGCGACCCCGTCGCCGCCTGTCGCGGCCCCCGACGCCGCCCTCTGCGGCCCCGTCGCCCCTCGCGGCCCCGTCGCCGCCCTCGCGGCCCCTGTCGCCGCCCTTCCGCGGCCCCGTCGCCACCCCTTACGGCCCCGTCGCCGACTCTTACGGCCCAGTCGCCGCCTCCCCTTCGCGGCTCCGTCGCCGCCCCTTGCGGCCCCGTCGCCGCACCCCCTTTGCGGCCCCGTCGCCGTCCCTTGCGGCCCCGTCGCCGCCCCCCCCTTCCGGCCTCGTCGCCGCCTCCTACGGCCCCGTCGCCGCCCTTTGCGGCCTCGTCGCCGCCCCTTTCGGCCCCGTCGCCGCCCCTTGCGGCCACGCCGCCGCCTGTCCGCGGCCCTGCCGCCCTTCGCGACCCCGACGCCGCCCTACTACCGAGCCGCCGAGTCGCTGAGCCGCCGAGCCGCCGAGTCGCCGAGCCGCCGAGTCGCCGAGCCGCCGAGCCGCCGTTGCCGCCGAGCCGCCGAGCTGCCGAGCCGCCGAGCCGCCGTTGCCGCCGAGCCGCTGAGCCGCCGAGCAGCCTAGCCGCCGAGCCGCCGAGCCGCCGAGCCGCCGTTGCCGCCGAGCCGCCGAGCCGCAGTTGCCGCCGAGCCGCCATTGCCGGCAAGCCTTGGTCTCTCTCGCCTGCCCGGTAAGAGCAGCGCCTCTGTCACTGCACTGCCCTTAGCCCCCTACTCACACTGCTGTCATGGCCACCCCCAGTGTTCTCACCTTTGACGCTGAGGGTCGGGCTGTTGACTTTGAGGTCTGGGTAGATGATCTGCAGCTTTTCCTACAGTGCGATAGGGCAGACGGTCTCTCCCTCTTTGACCTCACTTCTGGTGCCTCTCCTGCCCCTGCTGCTGATGCTGACCCCACTGTTCGCTCACAGTGGGCCACGCGCGATGCTGCTGCCCGCCTTGCTGTGCGCCGCCACTTGCCGACCGCTGAGCGTGCGCACTTTAGCCAGTACAAGAGTGCTAAGACCTTGTACGACGCTGTCGTTGCACGCTATTCTTCCCCTGCCACTGCTGCACTTAGCCGCCTCATCCTACCGTACCTCTTCCCTGACCTCGCCGCTTTTCCCACTGTCGCTGACCTCATTACGCACCTTCGCACTAGTGACACTCGCTACCGCGCTGCGCTTCCTGCTGAGTTCTGCGCCAAGAACCCCCCCCCCATGTACATCACCCTCTACTACATAGTCACCCGGCTCCCTGACACCCTTCGCTCGGTCAGGGACCACTTCCTCTCTGTTTGCCCCACCACCCTCACCGTTGACCTCCTCGAGGAGCGCCTTCTAGCGGCAGAGAAGAGCATAGTCGCTGTAGGAGCCTCTCGTGGTGACCCTCGTGCCCCTGTCTTTGAGGGGTGCTCCCCCTCTCCCCTCCTGCCCTCTGTTGCCTCTGCTGCTGCGGCCGACCTCGTTGGTCTTGAGTCGGTCGCTGCGGCGTCTGCCCCTAGCGGGAGACGCCGCCCTGGCAAGGGCTATGGGGGCAAGGGTGCTGGAGGAGCTGGCGGGGGCGGTGGAGGCGGAGGTGGAGGTGGTGGAGGGGGTGGGGGTGGCGGTGGGGGTGGTGGCGGGGGTGGGGGCGTCGGTGGCGGGACTGGAGGTGGAGGTGGAGGCGGCGGTGGCGGTGGGAGCGGAGGTGGCGGTACTGGAGGTGGTAGCGGCGGAGGAGGAGGTGCTGGTAGGGGTGGCGCTGCACAGAGGGTTGGCTCCGGTGGTGGTGCGCGCCAGCAGCAGCAGCAGCAGCAGCGTACTCGTGAGACCCCTTCCCCCCAGCAGCTTCGTGAGTGGTACGCTGGCAGAGTCCAGTGGTCCTCACTGGTCACGCAGACGCTTCTTGGGCTGACGACCAGGCTACGCAGCGGTCGTCACAGGGTTACACCTTCAGCCTTGGTTCCGGCTCTGTTTCGTGGCGGTCTACCCGCTCGTCTTCTGTTCTCGGCTCCAGTTGTGAGGCTGAGATCTACGCAGGGGCCATGGCTGCATAGGAGCTACGCTGGCTCACCTACCTGCTGACTGACCTCGGAGAGCCGCCTCGTTCTCCCCTGTGCTGTATGTAGACAACAAGGCCATGCTGGCCTTGTGTCGGGAGCACAGACTGGAGCACAGAACGAAGCACATCGCTCTTCGCTACTTCCTTGCTCGTGAGCTGCAGCAGCGTGGTCAGCTGCGCCTTGCTTACATGGCCTCTGAGGCCAACACTGCTGATATCTTCACTAAGGCACTCGCGCCTTGTGATCATCAGCGCTTCTGTACTCTGTTAGGTCTCGTGCCTACCTTGCCTCACTTGCTTACTTCTTGACCTTGCTTGTACTGTTACATATATATACCTGCCCTTGCTTGTTTAGCGTTATATATATGTAACCTTGCATGTGAACTGGCCTTGTGGCCTTGAACTTGTGCTCAGAATGTGTGGTGACATTGAGATCCACCCTGAGCTTGCTTTGCTTTGCTTGACTGGTCTTGTGACCCCTTGTTCTCCCCCACTTTGCCTATGGGGGTGTGTCAAACATTATGCATGTTGTAGCTTTGTAGGCTACAGTGGGTTTAGCCTTAGAGGGTACAGAACTCTAGGGTTTCATATTTGTACTCTCATTCCTGTTAGTCATTCTCATTCTCGTTCTTATTTTCACAGTTGTCACTGCTCTTGCGTGCTGCTGCTTTCTTCTGCTTGGTGTACCCCTGCAGGTTGTGTTTTTGCACATGGCTATTCCTGCATGCAGTAGAGGGTGTGTAAGAAAATCTATTATATATGTCTGTATAACTGCATGTAGTTGTAGCTGTAGTGTAGTATCACATTTATCTGCAGGCGGTATACCTTGCTTCTTCCATATTTGCACTTGCTTTTCAATAGTGAACCTCCTCTTTTGCTTATTCTCTATCACGCTCTCACCCTACTCTCGTTTCTCATGGTTCAAACCCCAAGGCTACTATTTTGACAAAATTCTACTTCATGAAAATATATATATATATATATATATATATATATATATCACAGTGGTCGTGAAAAAAGGGCCCCAATCTGGTTGTTTAAACAACTCATAGTGAGTGTATCATGAGTGCTACAAAAAAGGCGAAGTTAGGATTCAGTGTCGTCGCTAGGATTTGAGGGCGCCTGATGCGTCAGACGGGCCCTTCGGGCCCGTCTGAACCATCAGATTCTTATTTAAAGGTGTCTGATGTATCAGATATTTTTGAAATGCATGTCTGACCAATCGAATGGGTCTCTCGACGCAATTGATTCATACTTGACCAATCACAATAGAATCACCCTCTTACAGCAAATTCAGCCCATCACAGCAGTTTCGCCAGAACATCTCACTCGGTAGCGTCGGTAGCGCTCGGTACCAGAGCACTACACGACGCTACCAAGTGAGTCAGCAAGCTGACCGCGGGCAAGAAAAAAAAAAAAAAACCCATGGCTTATGCATGCCATTCGGGAGCCTCAACCCTAAAATTTTAGGGTTGATGCTCCCGAATGGCATGCCTTCCGACTAGGGTTTATATTTTTTCTTGCCCGCGGTCAGCTTGCTGACTCGATTGCACTGCCTGCTCATGCAGGCAGTGCAATATATAATCACCCTAATACAGCAGATTCGCCCCGTCACAACAATTTCGCCCCTGACACAGAAGATTCGCCCCCTAACACTAACAGATTCGCCCCTTGACGCATCAAATTCGCCCATTCACAACTGGAATCCCATATTCACCCCTACATAATTGGATTCGGTATCAGATGGAACCAAAACAAGAACCTGATTGATCAGATAAACTAAAAAACTACTCCTTATCAATTAGAAGTTACCGTCATACCCCGGATAGAAGCGCAGGCCTCGGATAAGCGCCGGCGCTTATAAAAGGATGGTGACGTCGCATTTATCCGGTCCTCGATTATAAGCGCACCCCCTGGAGCCTGACGGATTATAAGCACACCCTCCTAGATTTCCCATTATAAGCGCCAATTTTTTCATTCTATATTATGTCGTTACAAGTGCTATCCTAGTGAATTTCTAAATTTTCACTACATAATATAGTAAATCCAAGCTTAACTCGACATTCAAACATTTAAAAATTCTACTCTACCTACGCATCATAGGCATCGCCCTCAACAGTGGCGATGTCATCCTGAACGGTCTCACCGTCCGACTCTGGCTCGTCTACCTTGTTGCAGCAGAATCCATCTGCTGCAATCTCGTCGTCAAGTTCCACCTCACCCTTGACGGCGTCCCGCCGGTGCTGCAAGCAGAGGTTGTCCTGGGACCCGTCCAAGGCGTTGCTGATGCCACAGGTGAGAAACGCACGCTCAATCAACTCTTTCGAAACCGCCTTCCAGGCCTTGGAGATCCACCTGAGCGTTAGCTCGGGTGGTGGCTTGCGGATGTTGCCTGCCACACATGTAAAAATAACAGCAGTCAGAACAGGGTCAGAACATTTAAAACCATTCCCAAACTTGGAGAAAAGCTCACCTCTTTCGGTCAGGCAATCAACGCCCGCGCTCTCGAACCACTCCTGGTACAGTTGTCGCACAGCTGCTTTGAAGGAGCGGTTCACCGCGACGTCCAAGGGCTGGATCTCCGATGAGTAGCCTGCTGGAATGATGGCGGGGACGATGTTTAGCTCGCCGAATTTCGCCCTCACATGTTCAGTCAGGTGCCCGCGGTAGGAGTCAAGCACCAGCATCGCCTTCCTGCTGCGCACTCCAAACCTCGGGTTGACGTACGGGCTCACCGTTCTGTCGAGCCACGCGAGGACGCCGCCCGCGTCCATCCAACCGTTGGGATGTGCGGCGACAACGACATCTGCACACCCGCACAAGACGAACGTTGAGAATGGCATCAGGTAAAAACAAACAACACATGCAAGTTGCTTGGCGTACCGGAGGGGAAGTTCCCCTTGGGAACAGTCTTGCGTTTAAAGAACACCCAAGGCATTGAGCTTCTCGCCGCTGGCGGTGCAAGCGAGCATCACCGTCACGCGTACTTTTTGATAGCCGCCGCTACGGATGGGCACGGAGCGGATCCCCACCTCCTCGACCGTGCGTTCAGCTGGCATCTCGAGCCACAGTGGCGTTTGATCCGCATTAATAATCCAGCGGTTGTCGATGGCGTACTGTTGGCGGGTTTGTCGCACGAACTTCCAAAAGTTCTGCACCTGCGTCTCGCACTCTGAAAGGGATGGATGGGAGACAGAAACGAATTAAACACATTAGCAAAAAAAGGAACATTAGCAAAAGAGATAAAACTTTTGCAACAACAATAACATAGACTCACCAGAGGACAACTTCTGGCCGATACGGGTCTTCGCTCAGGTGGTGAGATTCCAGCGTCGTCGAAAACGCTCAGTCCACCTCTGAGATCCAGCCCACTTTACCTCAGGATGCAGGGCCTTCATCACCTCTCGTGACCATTGCTGCAGTCGGCCGATCGACACGGCGAGACACTTCTCCCGGCTGGCAAGAACACGGGAGTACACCAGGAGATCCATGTCGCGGTACGACGACGACCGACCACGCCCGTGAAGGCGCTTGCGAGCCCCATGCGCGCCCACGAGCTCACCCTTTCGCGACTTCCACTCTGCCACGGATTTTCGGGAGATACCAGTGTCGCGCGCCATTTTCTGCACACTTACAGCTCCTGACTCCAGCTGCGCAATCCACTGCAGCTTCTCCTGAGAAGTGTGGGAGTTCCGTTTGTGCTTCAAAGGCCTGCTCCTGGAAGACGGGGGGCGGGCATCACGATTCTCTTTGGAGGGGTGGGGCCGTTTTTTATTCGGCGGGGGAAAACTTGGGACAGGCAAGTCTTCAGGAAGACCGTCGTCCGCCCACCACTTAACGTCGTCTTCGGCACCAGTGGCGGATTCGTCGTACGGGCAGTCTTCCGGGTCTCCCCAGCGTGGCGAAAGACCGGGACCGGTTTCATCGTTATCGCTGCGCTCGGGCTCGGGCTCGGAGACGTACGCGTCAAAAGCAGAGTAGCCGCAAGGGAGTAGCTGCAGAACGGGCACACCGTTGATGACGACGTTAGGTGGAGCGGGAGGAGCAGGAGGCGCTGGAGGAGCAGGAGGCGCAGGAGGAGCAGGAGGTATGGGAGCTGGGCGACTCTGCCACTTAGAGTAATCGGGAGTTTTGGCAGCAGCACCTCGGCGGATAAAGAGGAAATGGGTGCCTGGAAGGCCCGCCATGGCCTAGGCAGGCCGAGGGAAAACAAGAAATCTGAAAAAAAAAAAAAACGATGAGAATGACGCCTGTTTGAAACCCTCGCCCGAGACCCCTCCAACTTCGCGGCCCGAGTTCCTCTGCAGGGAAAGGGGGGAAACCGTCAAGATCTCCCCGCCGAGGAGCTGATGTGGTGAGGTCCAAGCCTTGGTGGCAAGGAATCTTGCCGCATATGCCCATTTCATGGTTGTACAGCGTCGTGCCTGGCATGGCAGGCGACCCTGATTGGGCAGTCGCACACTATACAACGTGTGCGCTGGCATGGGCCAGATTCATGTACGATGAATCTGGTTAGGCCAGCAAGGCGTGGCGGGCGTGATTCCACGCCTTGTTGGCCATTTGACGCGCAATTCATGCACGCTTACGAATGTTCTAGACGTGGATTGAATCCCCTTTTGAAAAAGCTTCAATTACATGTAAAAAAGAATACTTCTCACTTTTGCCATTTTATAGACGCCGGCGCTTATAATTTTCCTCAATTATAAGCGCACCCCCTAAAAAAACAGTGTTTTATTAAAACCCCAGGGGCGCTTCTATTCGAGGTTTGACGGTACAAAAATCAATTTTTTGGAAAATCAGATGAACTCCAAAAACTCTATCTGGATATAAGACAAACAGACAAGAAATTTCTAGTAGCGACGACCCTGTTAGGATTGCATAAAAGGGGTCAAATAATACAAGTGTGATCGAAGGCATGAGCAAAAAAATTATCGGGAAAGATGTAAACGGCAACTTGTCATTGCGAGTTAGCATTTCTAATCATGGCAATGAGGT